AATAATGATAGGGTGATAAATAGATTTGAGGTTCTAAAAAAATCATTGTTAGTAACAGTTTGTACATAAAATATGTATTTTTTTCCAGGGCTGCATTTCAGTAGTGGCACGATTTTTCATTTTACTCTGTGGGTTACATGTCCACTGTAGTCTTCTGTTCCTTAGCGGTTCTCTCTCAGACATTGTGGACATCAAACCAGCCAACATGGAGGAGCTGACGGAAGTAATCACCTCTGCAGAGTTCCACCCGCAGGAGTGTAACACCTTTGCCTACAGTAGCAGCAAAGGTTCAATACGCCTCTGTGACATGAGACAAGCCGCACTCTGCGACAAGCACTGCAAATGTGAGTACCAGAGCATCATGGGAGCAGATTTAATAAGTGTCTTAGTGTTCAGGTAGACCTACCAGAAACGTGGCTGTTTTTATCTAGCCACAATTCTTTAAAGGTTCACTGAAATACTGAACACCTTTGTTCTATTGTATTAATTTATTCCTTTAAGGCAGACAAAATTTAGATACTGGAGAACTGCAAAATTCACGGGACACAAAACGGCAAAAATCAACAATTTCCATCGATGCCTTTATTGCCATTGAGGTGATGGTAGTCAACAAGGGAAATATAGCCCGATTCCAATATTCCACACCTTGGCTGTAAATTCACACTCGGCTCCACCTTTTTTTTCAGCTGTGACATGTGGGCTTCCCCTGCTCAATATGCCACGATTGATAACACACGAATAAATCTTGTAGCGCGTCTCAAACAATGAATGGCCTTCTCCAAAGCTTGACATCACATGGATACACTTTAGCTGAATGAATAATGAATACATTGACATTTTTGCTGGGAAATCAATGGCTTAAGAGCAATCGCATTAGTCCCTCATGGACACACCCTGTTGTTCAATAATGTCACTCATTTCCTCAGACGTATTGATGGATCCACTGGACCCAGCACCAACACGGCCTGTTGAATTTCACATGAGCATCACATGAGAGCTGGAAAAAAAATGTTTACATTTGGAGACATTGGGCAGTTGAAGTTGTCGGCTTCATACTCTGATTGTTTGGCATGTGTGTGCCATTCCTAGACAGGTGCTTGTAGCAAACACACACAGGCAAAGCAGGCAGGTGCTCTTGTTAGCCTCAGGAGACGTCTGTTAATACCAACCTACTGTCTCACTGCATTAACGTTTACGGCTCAGAGCGATGTAAAGCCTTCTCTCCTGCACTCACACACCACTCCTCCTTTTTGTGACACACACGCAACACAAACTCACAATCATAGTGTATCTCCTTCTATATAGAAGGCTATATATATATAAATATAAATTCTGGAGCACGCTGCTATCAGTCAGTTTTACAGGAAGGATGAATGGCCGCCGAGGATTGCCAGTGAGCTGAGCCCCAGGACAAATAGAGAGAGGGACCAAACAGCCCCCCTGCTGACTCCCCGGGGACCCTATTATCCACCCGTGGATCTGGATGGGAGGGAGGGCAGGGGCACACATAACACATGCATATATACATGCACACATTACACTTGCTCTTATTCGCACGCATTCGCTGGCGCGCACACATACAAATCCAGCAGGGCTCATATGGACCCAGCACTTTGACATTGATTTGTTTTTCTTATCCCTTCCTCATCCCCCCATTTTTTTTTTTTCATCTCTCACACTGGATCCCTAGTTGGACTCCCCACTGACACATCACAGAGCTATTCTCCAGGCCTCAGCTGAGGAGTGGGATTGAGTGGAAGTGGGGGGAGAATGGTGGGGGAATTTTTTTTTTTGGTTTTTTTTTAAAGAGAGAGAGAGAGAGGGTAGGAAGGGTGGGAGGAAAAGAGGAGGAGGAGGAGGAGGAACAATAACTTGACAGCTAACGATGGAATGCCTGTCTGTTATCCCCAGCGTGCTGGCCTACACACGGAACAGCAGCTGCCAAAATCAATATGAATCATAACCAATATTTACCCACCATGCTGACCCACAACTATCTCCCTAAACACACATGTAATTCTGTGAGGAGATGCAGCTGCTGCAGAAAACTCAGCATCCAGGCATTGTCGTGGCTGTCATTGTTTTCTAATAGCAGCCTCCACTGCCCAAACCGAATCTTCCTCCTTGAAGCGATTTAAAGTCTTTAAAGCAGCGAGCACCAACAGTGTAAAATCTTCTGTTGAAAGATAACTGCTTTATACATTTTCTTTTACATGTAGACTTTGAGGAGCCAGAGGATCCATCCACTCGCTCCTTCTTCTCTGAAATCATCTCATCCATCTCTGACGTGAAGTTCAGCCACAGCGGACGCTACCTGATGACAAGAGACTACCTCACTGTAAAGGTGTGGGACCTTCAAATGGAGAACAAGCCGCTCGAGACGTACCAGGTACGCTTTTCATTGTTCTCTCGTGTGCTTTTTGGATAGCTTGAGGGCTCCAAAGAAAATGTTCCGCTGCTGAAGTTAGTAAATAACCGCTGTGCCCAGATCAAATCAAAACTTATTGATTTCAGGCTTATCACTCAATATAATCCTGTTTCACTGTCACCCTGCCAATCTGTAACCGTGTCATGTGTAGCAATTACCCCAGGAGGGCTTATTGAGCTGAATGTCCGTAAGAAGACGGATAGTATAGGCGCTGATGGAACCCGGAGGGCAGAACCTCCCACTGTGTGGTCACGGCAGTCACGTCCACGCTGTCTGATCAGGGGAAGCCATCTTAGGGCAGATCATGATTGATAAGGCCATCAACCGGGCTCAAGGGATTCTCTGTCCAGTTCCACCTCAGCCTCCACCTGCTACCTAGCATCTTAGCACAGGTCACCAGGTCTTGAGGGATTACTGAAAGCAGAGCATATGGTGGTGCAGCTTATGGTTTCGGTGTGTTTGCCCACCAAAAGGCAATGCGAAGAACTCCAAAGGCCTATAAAGACTGATCCAAAAAGTACTGCAGATTGTCATGTTTTTGGTTTTGTTCTTCAGGTTCACGACTATTTACGGGGTAAGCTGTGTTCTCTGTATGAAAACGACTGCATCTTTGACAAGTTTGAGTGCGTCTGGAATGGATCAGACAGGTGAGACTTCTTTTCAGCGCCGCCATCGACCAGATCTACCAACCGCTCGGTCCATCCAGCCACCCCTCTCGATAACACCCCCTCTCTTCTTTTTTCCCTCCTCAGCGTCATAATGACCGGCTCTTACAACAATTTTTTCCGAATGTTCGACCGAAATACCAAACGCGATGTCACACTGGAAGCATCCAGAGAGAACAGCAAACCCAGAGCTATTCTGAAGCCTCGCAAGGTACCATCACCAACACAAGTTATCCTTTTTAAATTCAAAGACATCTGGTTTTAGTCTTATAAT